GGCCGGCCGGAGGAGGACCCTGGCGCGGCCGCCTCGGGCTCGCGCCGCGCGCGCACGCGAGTGGGCGTGGGCGGCCAGGGCGCTACTAGCACGCGGCGTGCGCGCTCACCGCACGCCCCAGCCCGGCCGGCCGCGCGTCACGAGGCGGGCGGGAGAGGACAGGGGGGTGGGGCCGCGGGGCCGGAGGGGCTCGGGAGGCGGCTGCTGAGCCGGAGCCGGAGCTGGGCGCGGGCGTCTGAGGTCCGGGTGGCGGCGTCCGCAGCGGCGGAGAGGATGGTGGCGCTGGAGGTAGGAGCAGCTGGAGCGGAGCTTTATTCCCAGGTTTGGCACCGTCGCTGTCATTAGCGCCGCCTGCTCCCGCGGGCCCGCGGACCCAGCTGTCAGGCAAGGTACCGTCGCCGGGGAGCGGTGGGAGAGCGGGGTGCCCGATCCTCGCCGAGGGCGCTCCCGGGGAACAATAGTGCGGAGGAGCAGCCCGGCAGGCGATGTCCCGGGGCGCTGCCTGCAGCCCGCGAGGCGGGGGAGGCCGGCAGCGGTGCCTGGTGTGCGGCACGGTGCCGGGCTGGGAGGGCGACCAGCGGGCCTAATGACAGTCGCGGCAGGAGCGCGCGCGCGCGCGCGTGTGTGTGTGTGTGTGTGTGTGTGTGTGTGTAAGAGGTACAGCACAGGGGATGGAGGTAGCGGACCCGAGGTGTTGAGGATGAAATTTCCAGGAATCTCCGCTAGAATCCCCGGGCTCGCGGCTGACTCCGGGAGAAGGGATGTGATGCTGGGAACCGTGGTGGGCAGGACGCGCCTGCCCTGTGGAGTGTGGATGGAGGCAGTGGGGTAGGGGCGGGTTTGTAAGGTCTCGTGCAAGTGTGCGTACGCGGGTGACTGCACCCGCGCTCCCCAAACTATGCCCCAAATCCAGACATCTGCCCGTGCCTGAGTTAATGTCATCAGCGGACACTGTGGGACAGTGTGTTATTTTGACCCTGCAACTCTGAGTACAGTCTCTGTTCTGCTTGCGTGTGGATGGCCCCAGCTAGGGATTCTCGCTTCCTCTTTCTCTGGCCTCCTGACATGGGGATGTGGAAGTGGGCATGTGGCTTTGGGGCGCAGGGCAAGGAAATAAGATAATGATTACACCTTCTGGCTTGCTGGTATCCCAGGGATTGAAGGGAGCCTCTGTCCAGTACCTGTGTCCTCAGCCCCTTTGCTGTGAGGATCTTGGACTCTGACTGTGCAGTTTCTATTGTATTGTTTATCCCTTGTCTAACATCTTCTAAAGGGAAGGGTCTTTAACGGTCACCTTTCTCTCCCCTTCCCACAACTCTGAATGCCTACTAGACCTTCCTTGCACATTTACGTACTGAAAACCAATGGCTGAAGAATGGGTAGTCTTCGTGTTGATTTCTTTTAGAATGAACTCAGAAGGTGTGCATAGAAAGATAGATGGGGGGCTTTAAAAAGAAAAAGATAGGTGGAGGAGGTGGGGTAAAAATGAAGAAAAAAATCATCCTGAGAAATGTCTGGTGCCCTGTTGGCCAACATCGTACCACCAGGGTGTTTTCCTTGGGAAACGGGATACTTCAAATCTACAGCTTGGTAGCATTCACACTTCTAGCTTTCACAATGGCTAGGTGGTGGCCATCCTTCAAGATTGAAATCTCCATCCCCTGGTGATGGGATCTTAGTCGTCAAGTCCCTGCTTTCCTATCCAGTATAGCCCACTAATAGGAAATTTCCTAAATGTCAGGCTCCCGGTGTGGGAGCTGGGACACAAATGCATCCAGTCTGTAGTTGTTTAATTGTCTCTGTGATAAGCTTAGGTTTGTGTAGGGTTTGGTCGAGAAAGCTGATGACATATTCATATGTGTCCACTGCAGTTTGACTCCCTCATGTCTATTTCTCCTGCAGTATTCATAGGAATAAGTGCACCTTTATGTTTAATATCTTGGTACTTCCTTATTAAAATGTTGTATGACTAGATTAACCTGCCTAGGACACATTTTAGTCATAACACTTTAAATTCTACTGCATTGCTGTCAGAATCCAAACTGGCTGCCCTGGTCCTCTTTTGAAAAGCCTGGAGCATTCAAGTCAATATAAGTAAATTCACAACACATTGTCACCAAAGGTTTCTTTTCTTTTTTTTATTAAAAAATTTAGGGTATTTTTTGGCAAAGGTTGCATGATATAATTGTTACATTGAAAACAATAAAACTTGGGGTTATCCACATATATTTTTTCTTCCCATTTATCTTTTCTTAATTAATGATGATATTTGGCCAGGTGTTCTGGAAGCAACATAAAGTAAATTTCCCATATCTTTCAAGTCAGGCCTTCTAAAATTTTAATATAAGGTCATTGGATCTCATCCAAGATTTAAGGATAGATTTATAAAAATGAATTTTGAATCTTAGTTCTTTACTCTCTTATTGGTTCTGCCAAATCTCTTTCTGAGAAAAGTACTTAATGGAATTTAAAAGGCATACTAAGAGGTTTTTAAAATAATCATCTTTATAGTTGCAAGAAAAACCAGAGATGTAAATTTCTTAAAAGAAAGTTTAAGAATATTAAGAATTAGGATAAGTAACCTGTTTAGAGAACAAGTAATTATACAACAACAAAATTTATGACTCAGGAATTAGTGATTTTTGTTTCTACTATAAATAGAGCAAATTTTTAAAATGCAGTGCCTAGCTTTTCTAAAGATTGGGCTGGTAAGGTTAATGATACAGCTTGAATCTGTAAAGTCTGGTAAACGGTTGTACCTTTTGCTGTAGCCTGCAGCAAACCATTTGTTTTGCATAGATGCCTTTTCTTCACTTAATGTATGGATGCTTTTCTTTTCCATTATTGGGCCTCTTTAAAAAGTTGGGGTTTTTTTCCAGAAGACTTGGAAGTAAAAGACATTTGAAAATTGAACTGTGGGGCCAAAAGGAATAAACTATGAAACCTTGGGGACATAGGGTTTTTATTCTATAATGGAACAAGTGATTGAGAGAATGGCCAGAAGTGAAAACTGATTTCCTTTTCAATAAGTTGAGTGATGAAGGTGAGAGAATGATACATCAAAGGAATATGATTAGTATAGAAAAGCCGGAGCCTACTTTAAGAGCTAAGGATAAGAATCCTTTGCGAAGAAGAGAGATTGGAGAATTCAGGGAGAAGCTAAATGATGACGTCTTCAAGACGATGAGAAGATGGTGAAGGCCTAACTTCAGTTAGAAGCATAGCAGTTCTGAGGTGGAGTAAAAGGTGCCTATGATCTTTTAGGTAAAGTCAGAAAAGCTGTGGGTAGGTTGAGGCCAAGAGTAGAATGACAAAAACTTGTTTGCATTGTGAAAATCTAGCACCCTGCTTTGAGGGACTCCTGTGTTTGAAGAGCATGAATCTTAGTGGAACCAATTAGCCTCGTGTAATTAGAGCTTGACAACTACTTAGGTAGTTTTTGTAGTAATAGGTATTTAATGTTGCTAAATTTAATGGATTTTCCTTCCCTTAAACTCAGTGAAAAGAGAAGAATGTTTACCTTTAAATTATCTGAATAAAAAACTCCACCTGAATGATTACTTACAAATACTCAGGGATCTCTGAACTAAATAAATAAGGTTTATGATAAAGAATGGAAAAAAAGGATTTTCAAAAAGATGAGCTTTGCTTTGCTCATCTACAATGACTACGTGAGACTTTTATAGTCAAGTATAGAGTTAATTTTTCAGAAGAAAAATAAAATATAGCACCTCACCCAACACTATACACATCATAAACACTGTATATTTGTCACATGAATACATGAATAAATTAATTTATTTTAGTAAGGTAGGCATACTAGATGAGATCTGAAATTTTACAGTTTCTTATGCAATGGACATTGAATGAGTTCTGTGTCCTGTACAAATTTATGATGCTATTAAAGCTCCCTTATTTATACCTGTTACATATATTGATGCTTGACCAAAAAATAAAGGAAAAACATGCACCACACTGTTTTCTTTCACACAATAATTGTATAGCCTTTAGACCCTTAAATTATGGCAGTGATGGTGAACCTCTGGCACACGTGCTGAAGCGGGCTGTTTGTATCATTGAAAGCTCTGAAAGGTTCTCCATCACTGAGTTATGGTGTTGATTCCAGATGGGTTTATGGAACTTCAGCTGTTGTGAGTGATGATTCTAGGGTTCTAATTGTGAAGTTTATTCATTTTTTTAACAAATATTTATTGAACAACCTGCCTTGGCCAGCCACTATTCAAGGTGCAAAGAATACATCAAAGGGGGAAAATTTCTAATATTACAGAGATTTTAGTGAGAAGAGACTAGAACAGATAAGTGAATACATAATATGTCAGGCAGTAAGTGCTGTGAAGAATAAAACAGGGAAGACGATAGAGGAAGACATTGTGAGAGTGTGATGTTATTTTATATTGGGTAGTCAGGGAAGGTCTTAAGTAGAGAGAGCTTAAGGAATGAAGGAGTAAGCCACTGGGAGAATGGTTTTCTAATCAGAATATCCAGAGTGAGCGCCTCAAGTTGGTATATACTTGGCAAGATCAAGAGACAGCAGGGAAGCACCCTTGGGATCTGCGGTTTGCCTGGACATTGGTATCACACCCGAGAGATGGAGCAGTCAGTCATTTAGGGAATCTGTGATAAGATGCTTTGGCTTTTGGGAGTGAATTGGTCACCCATAAAGCTATATCACCACATATCATATTTGGGCCCATTTGTAAGTCAGTGCTGGGTTTAGACAAGGGTAAATGTTCTCAAACAAACGTATAAAAGTTAGAAAACTTGAAGAGTGAATCTGTGATGAAATACTAGTCAGTTGGGAGTAGTCCCTCTCTTTGGAACTGTCACCTCATTCTTCTGTGGTCTGAATCTTCTTTAAATATAGGTTTCTTTTCCTTCATGTTTCCTGTCCCATCCTCAAGTGTAAGATCCTTAAAGACAGGACGGTGTCCTGTTCATCTGAGTACACACTACAACACAGAAAAAACTGCATTAGTAAGAGATCATTAAGCACCTACTGAATAGAATGGATAAGGCTAAAGCTCTTTTGTCTTGACTTCTGCAGATAGATTTTCAAAGAAGGACACAGAAGCACTACATGATGCTGAAGTGGTTTATGCAAGCACACCCTGAGTCCAGATCATTGATTTGGGAGGCCAGCCCAAGAAGCATAAGTGAAAGAGTGAAGAAGATGAGATGAGAGAAGAGCTGGGTTAATGAGCAGGCTGCCACTGAGAGCAGTTGAGGCTTGGCTCTGCTGGTATTGTAAGCCATCAAGCAATAGGGAAATAAGTATTTTCCCTTCATTTACCCTGGAGGCATTAAATCCTCAGCATTTTAGGACTATCCCTAGCAGCCTGAGCGGCTCCAGAGGCAGCAGCACAGAAAA